CTAAAAGAGAGGAGAAAGAAATGAAGAAGGACTCAAATTTGGAAACACTGGGAACCTGAAGACTGAAATATCCTGATGAGAAGGAGGAGGAGAGGTAGCAGAAAAGGGAAGAGGGGAATGGAAATGGTGGTAGCAAAAGAGAGAGACAGACAGACAGAGACAGAGAGAGGCAAGAGAATGAAGGAAGAGAGAAATGGGAGGGTAAAGATTACACCTATGAACCACAACAAATAGGAAAGGTCAATGGATTTAAAACCACACTTCCTCTCTCTTCAAGTCTTTCTCCTTTCTAATATATCCTCCACACAGCAGCAAAATTTACATTTCTTGAGCATAAACCAGACCATATCATTCTCTTGCTCAAGAAACTCTAGTGGCTCCCTATTACCTCTCCTATAGAATAAAATCTTTGTTTGGCATTTAAAGTCCATCACAATCAGACTCCAATCCATCTTTCTAGATTTCACATTACTCTCATTCGTATATTCTACTCTCCAATGAAGTTGGCCAACTCGCTAATCCCTGAACTTAGAATGCCCTCTCTTGTCTCTGTGTCTTTGCGTGGGCTCTCTTCTTGACCTGTAACGTTCTCCTCTCCACCGTTGCCAGTTGGAATCCATTGCTTCCTTTAAGGCTCAGCTAAGGTACCATCTCATGCAGGGAGCCTTTCCTGACCTCACTCCCCAATTGTTAATGTTTATCTACAAAACTACTTTGTATTTATTTATCTACGCACTGTTGAATCCCACCCTAGTTGAGGTTAGGGACAGTTTATTTTTTGTCTTTGTATACCTAGAATTCAGAACGATGCATTGCACATAGCAAGTCCTTATGAACTGAATTTAATTGAACTAAGGGCTAGAGGAACCTTAAAGGCCTTAGGGTATAACCCTATTCTTTGACAGATGAAGAAAATGAGAAAAGGAAGATTAAATGATTTACATACACTCATATAAATATTACTACTACTATTACTACTATTACTACTACTACTACTACTACTACTACTACTACACAACTATTACTATAGTTAATAAGAATAAGAACACATAGCTTGCATTTATATAGCACTTTTAAAGATTGCAAAGTCTTTTCCACATGCTATCTCATTTGATCTTCACAATCACACCTGGGAGGTAGATGTTATTATTATCCCAATTTTACATCTAAAGAAACAGGCTAAGTGAGAAAAAGTGATTTGCCCAGAGTCACACAGCTAGTAAGTGTCCAAGGCTGGATCTGAATTTAGACCTTCTTGACTCTAGGCCAAACACTATCCACTGCACCACACAGCTGCATAATTAAGTTATGAACCCAGGTTCTCTGAAAATTCAATCCAGTTTCTCTCACGATTTCAAGCTGATACATTTCAGCCCCTTGATCCCTTTTTCACAGGGCTAAGCCTAAGGATTGGTAAAAGATTTTCTGACAGCCTGAAAGGAAGAGAAATTTGTGTAATTTATCAAGACAAATGGTTATATTTATACTACATCTTTCATGTGAAAATCCCCAATTCTCTTTAAATGGTTCACTGTTCTTCTTAACTCTCTGGTGAGATGAGAATGGAATGTAGGTGGGTACCATGGGAAACCCTACTCTGACAAGACTCTCCCTTTCTTTTTGTAAAATGTGGATAACTCAGGGAGGTGTCCCTTCTTTTCCTAACACTGGTGAGATTAAGATAAATGACCCAGGATTATAGACTACAAAGTACCCCTTAGAGGTCATCTAGTCCAATCTCCTCATACTGAGGAAAATGAAGCCAAGAGAGGTGAACTGATTTTCATTTTTAAAACTTTTTAAAATTGTATTTTTACTTTTAGTTTCAAATTCTCTCCCTCCCTTCACTCTCTCCTCCACCGATTGAGAAGGCAAGAAATATTCTATCCAGTATACATATGAAGAAACATATGAAAATATATTTTTGTATCAGCCATGTTCTAGCAAAAAATAGCAAGCAAAATAAAGGGAAAAAATGCTTGGACACCTTGTGTCCATCAGTTCTCAGAAAAACAACAACAACAACAACTATAACAACAATTTAGAGGATGATACATCATGAGTCCTTTGGATCTGTGGTGGATCATTGTGTTGATTAGAGTTACTAAGTCTTTCACAGTTGACTATCTTTACAATATTGCTGTTACTGTAGATTATTCTCCTAGTAGTGCTCACTTCATATTGCATCATTTCATATGTCTTCTCACAGTTTTTTAAGCCATCCTCTTCATTTCTTACAGCATAATATTATGTATTCCATCATATTCACATACCATAACTTGTTCAGCCATTTCCCAATTGATGGGCATCCCCTCAGTTTCCAATTCTTTGCCCCCACAAAAAGAAGTGCTATAAATGTCTTTCTACATACGGATATTTTTCCTTGTCCTTTGATCTCCTTTAGGTATAGAACTAGTAGTGGTATTGTTGGGTATAAGGGTATGTATAGTTTTATAATCCTTTGGGGATAGTTCTAAATTGTTCTCCAGAATGGTTGGAAAAGTTCACAGCTCTACCAACAATGCATTAATATACCTATTTTCTTACATCCTCTCCAGAATGTTATTCTCCTTTTTTGTCATCTTAGCCAACCTGATGGGTGTGAGTTGGTATTTTAGATTTGTTTTAATTTGCATTTCTCTAATTATTGGAGTTTTAGAGAATTTTTATATCACTATTGATAGCTTTGATTTCTTCCTCCAAAAACTGCCTGTTCATATCCTTTGACCATTTATTAGTTGGGGAATGGCTCCTATTTTTTTTTATATATTTGATTCAATTCCTTATATATTTGAGAAACGACACTTTTATCAGAGAAACTCACAGGTAAATTCTGCCCCCTCTTCCCCAGTTTCCTGCTTTTCTTCTAATTTTGGCTATATTGGTTTTGTTTGTACAAATCTTTTTTAATTTTATGTAATTAAAATCACCCATTTTACCCCTTGTGAACCTCAATATTATCTCCTGTTTGGTCATGACCTCTTCCCTTCTCCATAGATCTGGGATAATTTCTTTCGTGCTCCCTTAACTTGCTTATATCATCCTTTATGTCTAAATCATGTACCCATTTTTGAGCTTACCTTGGTATACAATATGAGATGTTGGTTTCTACCCTAATTTCTACCAGACTACTTTCCAGTTTCGCACTTTTTTCCCCATTAATTCCCTTGATAGTCTTGACCTTTTCATTCCTCCAGATGAATTTTGTTATCATTCTCCTAGCTCTATAAAGTAATTCTTTGGTAGTTTCACTGGTATGACACTAAATAAGTAAATTAATTTAGGTAGTATTGTCATTTTTATTACATTGGCTCCGTCTACCCATGAGCAATTAATATTTTTCCAGTTATTCAGATCTGTCTTTATTTGTATGAATGTTTTGTAATTGTGTTCACATAGTTTTATGCCCTGTATTATGGTCAATTTTTGTAAAGGTGCCATTTACAGATAAAAAAGGCATACTGCTTTCTATTCCCATTCAGTATTCTCCAGAGAGCTATCATGGCTAACTTTTCTAAAATTCTATTCATCTTCTTCATTTCTTTCTTATTTATTTTAAAGTTAGATTTACCTAGATCTGAGAGAGGTAAGTTGAGGTCCCCCACTAATATAGATTTACTATTTCCTCCTGTAATTCACTTAACTTTTTCTTCAAGAATTTAGATGGTATGCCATTTGGGGTATATATACTCAGAATTTGGTTCAACATGCTTTTTTAAATTGCTGTAGAAGAATGTGTTGGGAGAGCTTGACAAAAATGCTGACTTCACTCTGCAATTTTGGGTACCCCACAAACCTACGAATGGACTTTCCCAAGGTCTATCTTTCTATCTGTATCTGTATCTGTATCTGTATCTGTATCTCTCTCTCTTTCTCTCTCCCCATTGTGACTCTTGGGTACTTGAATGACCGAGAAGTGATATCAAAAAACCTGAACCAAGCAAGTCTTAAAGGTGGTTTCAATACCTTTTAAAGAAAAATTAGACTAAATTGCTTGAGGATAAAGGCTAGGGTATTGTTCCCACTATAAAAATGTAAGTTCATTGAGAGCAGGACCTATTTTTCATTTTGTCATTGTCTTCTCAGTTCAGTCAGTTATTTTCAAGTGCCCTTCTCTGTGAGCCTCTGGATCTAGACTATTCTGGCCTTGGCTCCTTCCGGGTCAGGAGCCAGGGCAGAAAGTTGCTTTGGCCAGTAAGTCTTTCTTGAATCAGATACATTGTAAATCTGCTTCTCAGGCCTATCTATCATGTCCATTCTTGTTGACATCCCAGATCCTGACCTTCTGACTTGTGGATTCTCTTGTCTATTTGACCTATTGGTTTGAACCTTGACTTGCATTCATTTGCTCCCATGGAATCGCGTGGATCTAATGATTTTATTGTTTTGATCTCCTTCATTATAGGTACCCTGGTGCATACTGATCTATGTGATACTGCCCCCAACCTAACTTTAGGCCTCCAAACTGGTCTGCTAATTCACCTGGTCTGTCTTTCTCTGCAGCTCTGAACCTAGGTCTTCTCACAAGCTCTGAAATTTCTTCTGGATTTTCAGGCCACTGAAATGATGGGTTAATGGCATTTTTTCTTGTTTCTTTTCCCCAATTCTAGAACCCTCTGGGTGGAAAGTCAGACATCCCAGTGTGAGGTCTTATTCTCTGAATATGAACATCTTCTGGGCCAACATGTAAGCAGTGTTGGATCATAAGACCTGTAAAGGACCTGACAGACAGATCATCTATTCCAACCTTGACCCTTTTTTAGATTGGGAACCCAAGACCCAGAGAGATTAAGCGAGTTGCCACACAGCTAGTTAAGTAAAAGAGCTAGAATTTAAAATCTGGATTCTTTAGCTTACAAATTACCAAATAATTAAGCAATCAACAAACATCTATTAAGTGCTTACTATGTCTGTGTACTGTGGCAAGTGCCAGATATTCAAAGCAGAAGTGAAACAGTCCTTTTCCTCCAAGAGCTTATATTCTTTTGGGGGAACTAATG